TATTTCATATCAGTCTCGTGATATGATTGACTCAGATACACCGGTGAGATTGAATGATGTCTTCCATCAATAAAATGCTTCAAAATCTTTTTTTGCACGTCTTTAGGAGCAGTGATGAGATCGTCAAAAATCACAACCTTCCTACCCCCTCTTGGATACTCTGCTGTGTCAAGAATTTCATCGGGATTCATCAGATGCAATATATCATATTCAAATTTCTGTGATAGTTTATGCATAATCTTTTGGAGATCTTGTATCAACTCTTGGTGAACATTTGGGGTATAGATGTAAATCTGATCGTAAATCACAAGTGGCTTTCTCAACATATACATGAGTGTGTTTGTCTTTCCACTCCCACTCGGACCAGCGATCAGCATCCTATACTCTTCATCGAGAAAGTCAACACCAGGTGCTTTTCTCTTTTTATTTGTACTCTCTGTTGTAAATTTTGGAATGTTAACCATTTTGTTTATATCATTAAAAATTTAACTGTTGAATTTGTAAAAAGTAGATGCAAAACAAAAGAAACACTTATCTTTTGAGATAAGTGTTATAATACAAAAAGTGAAAGCAACATTTATCTCAAAAGATAAGTGTTACAAAAGAAAAAACAAAAGAAACACTTATCTCAAAAGATAAGTGTTATAATACAAAAAACAAAAGCAACATTTATCTTCAGAGATAAGTGATTCTTTCACTTTTTTAAAAAAAGTTTTTTAAAAAATGTTTTAAAAAAAATATTTGGTAATATTAACAATGCAACTCACAAGTATCAACAAGCTCAACAAATCAAATGTCATTTTTAGCGATTTTGTTGTCAACCAATATGGTCATCAAAGTATTAAGATTGAGGTGGGAGGTGGTAAAAATAAACCAGAACCGTTGGTGGTTGAGTCTCCTCTCCTCTTCTCTTTCGGTGTACAAAAAAATCTAGATAAAGCTGGTAATCTCACCGGTTATTCAATACCAACATGTCTCTGGGGTGATGATCTTACTGTTCAAATAGTAGATAAAGAGCTTAACTTTTATGATGGATTAAAAAATTTTAAAAGTATATGTTTTGAACATCTTGAGGATATTTTTGGACCAGAGACTGCAGAAATGTTAAAACTCCCTCTAGTTGAGAGAGAGGGAAAAGCTCCAATTTTTTATCCAAAGCTCATCTACTCTAAAAAGAGAGATAAGATACACACAATTTTTCGATCAGACACACATATAAAAAGTGAAAACAAAGATCCACTTGATTATCTTGATGAATATTGCAAAGTAAAGATGGCGTTGATAATCGAGTCAATCTATATTACTGACGAGAGTGTATCGGTGCAGATCAAGGTAAATGACTTCTATGTCAAAACACTACAGAAGAGACAGCCGTTAGTCACCCTTTCTGATGAAGAAGAAGAATAAGATTAAGGTTATGATCCTGTCTACTAAATGGAAGACTGTACACTTTTCTCTTTTGAAACGAAAGAGAAAAGTATTTAAAAACCTCAACACTCAAATCGTTTTTTATACTTTTTCAGTATTTTATCTGATAGAAAGATTGGACACAGATCTGTGATTGTATCATCGATGAGTCGCACCTCATTGAGAAAAGATTCCATGTCAAACTGTCTTCCTCTAAGATAAGTCCTCAATTCAGTCAAGATCTTTTCATAAGTTGTAAAGGCAAATTTACACATATCAATTTTTCTGTCAAACTTTTTCACATCAGTATATGTCTTGAGTAAGAGACCAGTACCTGATATTGTGGCAAGGATGATTGGGTTCATTGTTACCCCTCCAGCTATCCCTCCAGTCACGATGAGTACAGTATTCCCCAACTTGCATAAAAGACTCTTTTGTTTAAAATTCATAAAGGTCTTTCTCGAGCACCACCACTTTTTGTGATAGTATTTGTAAAGAGCTTTGAGTTCATCAATCTTCTCCTCTCCCATAGAGTAGTCGATATGGTTAAATTTGAAAATGTGTGTGTCAGTCATTTTATTATGAGATTTTCATAATAAAATTAAATTTTTTATTCAATCCTGCTTCACAATCATCAGATAGCTGTCATCAGTTCCATCGAGTTGAGTATTGTTGTTATCTGTCGCTATGCTCAGTGATGTGTTTGCTTGGAAATATAAAAGAACGGTATTAGCGAGTGTCGTCCAAGCACTTCTTGTGTTGGGTAGCGGTACCAATATACCGTTTGCTGTGGTTATGAACGGATTGCTCAATATGAACCTGAGATGTGATAGATGTTTAGACTTGATACCATCGGAGTATGTGATCAGATACATACCAGCGTTTTTGATTGTGAGTTTTGTGTTGTCAGAACCGTTCACTGTGAAATCAGCGTTTGCGCTCTGTGAAACGTTTGCGGTATGATCTGATGCTCCATTTATGTAAAATCTCACCTGTGTTGAATTGTCATGAGCACAGTTTCCTCGATACCAGATCTTTTTTGTTGCGTTTGTCAACGCTGTCTTTGTCGCTTTTGAATTGATCTTTGT